GGGGTGTGCCCGAAGCATGAAACAAATAACGCGTTATACGGAGCCACTAAAAGGTTAGCCGCTTGCTAGCGGTAGCCTGTTGCATTACAGTACATGAAAGTTCACTTACCACAATACACTGTGTAGAGTAAGGAGAAATGTCTGATAGGACGATGGCAAATGATTTGCAGATCCTGAGCACCAATGACAAACATCTAATCTTGTCAAATGTGTGGTAAGTACTGCCTCTCCATAGTACAGATTCCTTGTGATCGCGAATCTCAAAAGTGAAAGTGAAAGTAAAATGAGAGCGCGCAATCGAAAGCGGTTTCAATAGCGGCTCCCTGATGCCCGCAATTTATATACAGATGCCCACAATTTATATACTTACCCAACAATATAATTGCGAGAAAAAGTATTGAAATATATTTTTTATCCTCCCATCTCGTAGGCTATTTATTCCCTTTAGAGTTTCCGAAAGTACACTTAATTTCCTTTCTGAACACGTAACTGGGATGCGGCGGATTGCGGGAGACGGGGTGGTGGTGGGGGGGAATCACGATGTCAGCTTAACATCGTGATGTCTGTTAGCCATCGGCGATGTACGATGGCATCGTCTATCGGCCCAACCCTAATAACAATTACATGTTAAATTATACTACTGAAATTTGAACCTCATGCCAGATTAAGAAGGTTGTGATGTTGTTTAACTAGTTTTGAGTATAAACTGAGAATTGGCCACTTTGCAAAGCAGTGTAAGTGTAACCTTTGCTGTTTTCCTGAAATGGACACACCTGAATGAGAAATGTGCCTTCAAGATACACGCTCACCAAAAACTCCTAGCAAAGCGGGGAGATTTGTAAACAGAGAGCTACGTCTGTTCATTGCTGTCATCTGGAAAGTATGAAGTGCTTAACGGTTATCCTACATACCGGTTCAGTGGAAACCCTGTATATTTTTCCATCTGGGTTTCAGCATGTAGCATTTGACTGAATTGTAATTTTCACGTCAACAGTATTCCTCCAGTTTCTGAGAGAGCATCTGGCCAGCGCCCACGCAAACGGTGTAGTTGTTTAGTAAGCACTGACCCCTGAGTGGGTTACAATGAATAGTATTTAAACTTGCAACTGGGCCTCCCCTCTCTCATGTTTAAAAGCCTTGGTAGATAAAACAAGACATCCATTTCAATAAGCCTTTGAGAACATTGAATAACATCATCATTAACAGCAGCCACCAGCAGAGAAATGAGCCAGATGTGATCGATTTATGTACCTACCGGCACACACTTTGAGAAAATGGACCAGAGTGTGTGTGTTTGTGTGTGAGAGAGTTGGAGGCGGAGGGACTCGGGGCTTTATTTGTTCATCTATCTCAGCGTGTGTGTGAGTTCTGGAGAGCTACTCAATGAGGAAACATCTGAGAGAACCACAGGACTCTAACTAGTGTGCTACTTTTAACACGTCACAATGAGGGTGAGTGTGTGGTTTTCAATACATACTTTTATTTGAGTTAGTTGTACTGTGCATATAAAAGTATATATAACTAGTGCTTAACTACTAATATTGTACTTTTACATGTATTAGACTGATACATTCTGTCATATATTCCTCATCTAGGTATTTAATATGTTGTTACATGACTTGAGCGTGAACGTATTCCTTCATGTGTTGTATTAGGGCTCCTTTTACAGCACAATGAAGCAACATATTGCTTTAGAAGTGTTCAGGTAGCACTGGCTTTGATTGGAAACACTCATCAAGCCTGGCTGTAAACTCCAGGATCAGAGGCTCAACAGGCCTGGACGGAAGCAGATCAAATGATTAGACTCCCTCCTACAGTTCCCTCAGCCTCTGTGTGTTTCAGAGCACTTTTAAAACTCAGGGTGTGCCACCCTGATCTTAAACAATTTCCTTTCCCTGAGGGGACCTACTAATGACAACTACAGAGGGCCCTTTAAACTCATAAATGAGTGTTGTGCACATTGGGGTCTGTTGTATAGTCCTGGTCTAAACTGGGTCTAAACGTCTCTTTTAGAACTTAGAACATCTGTGTTCAAGGTCTTGACCGTTTTTGACCGAAAAATCTCTAAAATTGAAGATGTTGCTCTTGGTTATTAAGCGGAGATAATGAGCTGTTATAGTATACAACAATTGTTGGTGCAAATTGTAGTTGGTGAGCAACTTTCTGTGAGATCACCTCAGTATTAGAAGGGTCTGTGGGTTGTTATGGAGCCTGAGGAATGAAAGCACGGGGGCTTTTCGTAATTCAGATGTATAATTTTCTCGATGAGACAGGTCTGTCAGGTGAAGACATGTTGATGCGGTTCTGATAAGTGATTGAACATTCTCCTGTGCTGTGGATTTTTAAGTGATTTATGTCAACGGATCAGTTTTAATGGGCTCTCTCAGCTACCAATTTAAATTCAAGCCAAAATCATTTTAGTTTGGTAATTTGGATGAAAGATTTAGTTAATTTTTGATATAGAAGCATCTCTCTGTCTGAGGTAATTTGGTAGTTTGATGGGAAAGGGCCATGGGAACAGTCTAAACTGATTCCCCTCAGCCATGTTTCTCCTTTTTAGTGTGATCCTGGAGATTCAGGAGGCTGATGATTACAGGTTGAGCTAATTAAGGATTTGGAGAATACTCATCACAGTCCTCCACAAATCACACTGAGCTCATCCAGTCTCTAGAGCACATTAAAAGGGAGCACACGCAACCTGCTGGAGTAGCAGCGTGCCTCTTTTTGTTTATCTTCCTTTTCTGGTGTGGATTTAATCATGTGTAATTATTTTATGTCCTACAGCAAGGTTTTTCTAGTCGGGGGTTTGTGACGGAGCAGCTCTCAAAAGATAGAGATTTTATGAAATTTAAATATGTAATATTAAATGCATACTTCCATTCAAAAGTCTGGGGTTGGTAAGAATTCTTAATGTTTTGGAAAAAACTTATTTCATACTTGCAAAAATCAAAATTCGGTAAAAACAATAATATTGTGAAATATTACTAGAATTTTAAAAAATAAGTATTTTTTATTCAAATATATTTTAATTAAAATGTATTTTTCCCTGTGATGGCAAAGCTGAATTTTCAGCATCATTACTCCAGTCTTCAGTGTCATGCGATCCTTCAGAAATCATTGTAATATGCCAATGTGGTGCTCAAGAAATGCTTCTCATGATTATAAAAGCAGTTGTGCTGCTTAATATTTTCAGGATTCTTCGATGAATAGAAAGTAAAAAAAAACAACATTTATTTGAAATAGAAATCTTTTTGACATTATAAATGATCCTATTTGATCAATTAAATGCATCCTTGCTGAATAAATAATTAATTTCTTTCATAAAAAAAAAAAAAA